AAAGTAAAATTAAAGAATAAAATAATGCAGATTTTAATAATCTGCTGAGTTTAAACATTTGTTAGGATAAATATTAAAATAATAATAATTAAGTAATTACCATTCAGTCTACAACAAGTAAAGTATATTGAAGCCATTACAACTTCAATATAAATTATACATATGTAGAACCAAAATCAAATTAACAAAATTATTATTACGAAAAAGAGAAAGAAAAATCACATTCAAATTAACTAAACTTAAATTGATTAAAATATAATCAATTAATTGAGATCTTCTCCAAATCAATAGTAATTTAATGCAACCTAAACTAAAACATGTAAATAAAACGGAAATACGGACAAGAACAAAGGGAATCAATTAATTAATAATTTTGAATTGGCGCATTAATTTAAAGATATAAAATATAAAACCTGAAAAGAATTTAAGAAAAAGAAGCAAAAGTAATTACAAATTTTGAATAGGCGTAGTAATAATAGAAATTATGAAAACTCGAAAAGAATTTAAGAAAAAGAAGCAAACGTAATTAAAAATTTTGAATAGGCGCAGTAATAATAGAAATTATGAAAACCTGAAAAGAATTTAAGAAAAAGGAGAAAAAGTAATTAAAAATTTTGAATAAAGGCATAATTAAAAATATTTTTAAGTTGATGGGGGAGGGCTTATTGTGAATCCCGTGTGGTATAAAATCACTTACTACTTGATGTCTTCATCACCAACTACTGCATCTCTGCATCATCTCCATCTCAGCAGCCCTCATTGTTGGTTGACACACACGAACACTCACGATAATTTAGTAGAAAATACGCACAAACTTCCCGGAAATTTAAGACTCCCGTGTGATTTTAAATTATCTGCACTCACGGTTGAAAAACAAGAGCCGAAACCTTAAACTTGTTTTCAAAATAACGAACAAACACTGTAATTCAGAATGTAAGAATAAGAATCGGCTAATGGCCAAGACTTTTCTTAACGACACCTGTCGCGATGCAAAGAAATGAAATTTCGAGGAAAACGCGAGCCCCTAGATCCGCTGTGATCTGTCGGTGATTGCTCGCATATTACGGATACGAGCAACGACCTTAACGGATGCACCTCGAGAAGGTTTTAGCACAGGCGGTCTTGCCATTCCATGCGAATCACTGCGAACGTGATTAACGCATAGAATGACCTGGTATTTTCAATACCTTGCATCCATATATAACAAACAAATATAATAGTAATAATACTGAAAGAAAATTTCAAATATACATGCACTTACAGTTAAGCGCGGTCGTCCTTGCTGCTCCCTGCTCATGACTGTATCGCGCTGCAATTTGATTGAAAAATCAATGAAGGTTTAGTATTTATTGCTCATTTGTAATCAGAGCGATGTTAACTTAAGAAAGGGACGCGCACAACTGTGGCGTGGGGACGCCGCGATCGTCGTACCAACCCGATCAAGGCAAGCAGTTTTTTTTTTTTTGCGATAAGAAAAGCATTGTTGCTACCAGATGTTATTTGGCGCGAACAATATAAAGTGGTGGTGGTGGGGGGAACGCGTCCTCACGCCATATTGTGCAATCGCAATTTCCAAATAAATTAACTCGAATTTCGATAATTACAAATCAAAATAGGAAAACGCACATCTCAATACAATTTATGCAATTAATTAGCGAACAAATTACGCAACATACAATGCAAATTGAGTTGACTCACGGTTGAAAAACAAGAGCCGAAGCCCTAAACTTGTTTTCAAAATAACGCACAAACACTGTAAATCAGAATGCATCCATATAAATAACAAATAAATAATAAAAAGTATTGAAGCTGTAACAAAAAAAAAACAGGGGAAGAAATAAAGTTTTGAATTGCTCACCATTAATCAGCATCGTCGTAGCTGGCTATGGATTAATGAGAAAGCCCCGAAATTTCATTAATAAATGCGCACATCTAATTGGAATGATGTTGACTTGAGGAAGAGACGCGCAAAACTGTGGCGTGGGGACGCCACGATCGTCGTACCAACCCGTTCCAGGCAAGCAGTTTTTTTTTTGCGATAAGAAAAGCATTGTTGCTACCAGATGTTATTTGGCGCGAACAATAGAATGTGGTGGTGGGGGGAACGCGTCCTCACGCCATATTGTGCAATCGCAATTTTCAAATGAATTAACTCGAATTTCGATAATTACAAATCAAAATAGGAAAACGTACATTTCAATGCAATATATGCAATTAATTAGCGAACAAATTGGCGGGGGGAAACGCGTCGGTCCGCCATTTGTAATTTCTAATTAATTACCGGCAAATTATCAATTACAAGTTATTACGAAATACGTTCATTTTAGCACATCGGTTAGCGAACAAATTGGGAAATTTTGAATGAAATGCGATTTTTTGTTTAGAAACAGATTAATTTACGACCTATAATTGTCCAAATCCAAGGGAGTTGTGATCTCCGATGATGGTTTTCTCGAAATACAACACAATTTCAAATAGTTGCACTACTATTTTGAACATTTAAAACCGGAGCACACGACAACGCATTGAACTGGACTGAACGTGCCGGCGCAAACGCAACAGGCGTTACCAACTCATTATTATTTTTCTTTTTGCGATTAAAAAAAAAGCATTGTTGGTATCAACAATAAAAAAAGTAGCGTCGGTCCGCCATTTTGTGTTTTATCGTAATTTCGAATTAATTAACGCGTTATAATAGTGAATGCGCAATCTGCACAATCGATTAGCAAAGAAATTGGGAGACTTTCGATGCAAAGCGAATTTTTAAAATCAGATTCATCACTAACCTTTTAATTGCAGCTAAATCTAATGGGGTTGTGCCATCTCCGACAATGGTTTTCTCAAAATACAGTACAGTACGTCGGATTTGAACTAGTTGCACAACAATTTTGAACTTAAGAAACGAAGAACGAATTGCGACTGAGCCGGGGGCTCTGCGTGCCGACGCAAACGCAACAGGCAATACCAACTCATTATTACTATTATCTTTTTGCGATAAAAAAAGTATTGTTGGTATCTTTGAAAACAATAAAAAAAAGTAGCGTCGGTCCGCCATTTTGTGTTTTATAGTAATTTCGAATTAATTAACGCGAATTCCTTAATTACGCGTTATAATAGAGAATGCGCAATCGATTAGCAAATAAATTGGGAGACTTTCGATGCAAAGCGAATTTTTTAAATCAGATTCATCACTAACCTTTTAATTGCAGATAAATCTAATGGGGTTGGTTGTGCCATCTCCGACGATGGTTTTCTCAAAACACAGCACAGTACGTCGGATTTGAACTAGTTGCACAACAATTTTGAACTTATGAAACCGGAGCGCACACCGACTCACAGAAGAACGAACTGCGACTGAGCCGGTGGCTCTGCGTGCCGACGCAAACGCAACAGGCAATACCAACTCATTATTACTATTATCTTTTTGCGATAAAAAAAAGTATTGTTGGTATCTTTGAAAACAATAAAAAAAGTAGCGTCGGTCCGCCATTTTGTGTTTTATCGTAATTTCATAATAATTAACGCAAATTCCTTGATTACGCGTTATAATAGTGAATGCGCAATCTGCGCAATCGATTAGCAAAGAAATTGGGAGACTTTCGAATCAAAGCGAATTTTTGAAATCAAATTCATCACTAACCTTTTAATTGCAGCTAAATCTAATGGGGTTGTGCCATCTCCGACGATGGTTTTCTCAAAACACAGAACATTACGTCGGATTTAAACTAGTTGCACAACAATTTTGAACTTATGAAACCGGAGCGCACACCGACTCACAGAAGAACGAACTGCGACTGAGCCGACGTGCCGACGCAAACGCAACAGGCAATACCAACTCATTATTACTATTATCTTTTTGCGATAAAAAAAAGTATTGTTGGTATCTTTGAAAACAATAAAAAAAGTAGCGTCGGTCCGCCATTTTGTGTTTTATCGTAATTTCGAATTAATTAACGCGAATTTCTTAATTACAAGTTATAATAGTGAATGCGCAATCTGCGCAATCGATTAGCAAAGAAATTGGGAGACTTTCGATGCAAAGCGAATTTTTTAAATCAGATTCATCACTAACCTTTTAATTGCAGCTAAATCTAATGGGGTTGGTTGTGCCATCTCCGACGATGGTTTTCTCAAAACACAGCACAGTACGTCGGATTTGAACTAGTTGCACAACTATTTTGAACTTATGAAACCGGAGCGCACACCGACTCACAGAAGAACGAAATGCGACTGAGCCAAGGGGCGTCCCTCCATGCGAACCGGCGCAGTAGGTGATGCCAACTGATTGTTTAAATTCAATTTTTTTTATTAATAATATCAAAACTCCCTCTTGTGGATGAATCGATAAACTCAATAGCGCCAATGTGACAAAAATCAATAAATTATTAATAAAAATTTAGTTAATTTTCTAATTGTTACTAGAACAGCCGCATTGAACAATCCATGTAGCCATCGAGATTGCAGATTAATTCAAGTTTCTGGAAATTATTCTAGACAACAAGCTCTGTCTTGGAATTCTTAAGCTAGTCTGTTTTCTTGCTCTCAATATAACTATGTTTTAAGCACAGTATGTATGTGTTAAGGCTGGATTACGTTTGCTTCATCTAATCATATTTGCTCCAAATCTACTCTCTATCGTATCCAGAACAAAGCTGAGGCTGTAGTCATGATAAGAATCACCAAGACAAATACAAAACCATAGTCAATTTCCCAATACTTCTTAAGAATCACTTCTTCTTCAAGAATTCCACTACAGAATACAGATTCGTAATTCGACAGGACGTGGTTAAATGTTAGAGGCTTTAGCAAAAGAGAAGCAGCAGGAGGCAGGATTTCGTTTCTTTTTTAATAAGATATTTATTTCATACGTAAATCACACACATAAAATGAAGTTATTTGTAAAGATTATACAAGTCTACAATTGGGATTATATTATATATATATATAATTGAATTCGTAATATGTAGATGTATAATTAGCAATAGTCTTTATAATATAAAATGATGATTATATTTATGAATATATGTAAATCCTGTTATTATATTTGATCATATAATATGTCTTTGAGCTATGATTTGTATTGTTACTGCATTTAATAAACATATTGAAATACTTTTGAAGTATTTCACTTTTATAGTTTATCAACTTAATGTTTATAAAAGATACGAGTGTATATCTTTTTTGCATCTAAGCGCCTTAGTATAATAATAATAATGTTTTTGACTATAGATCCGTAGAACTCATATATAATACTTCGATATCACATTGTCTTAATACTAGAAAATACGGTCGTCTTTCAGAGAGAGGAGTGTTGTTGTTGTCGATCCAAGTTTTTGGCTTGTCTCTAACTCTTTTTCCACGAGTAGTACATCTCCAAGGGTTTATTGATCTTCCAGAACTTGTCGTTGACCTGGCCCAGGTTCTGGTTGCCGTTCAGCTGAACGTACTGACCGCTCGACGGGGAAATGTAGATGCAGAAGTTCAGCAGATTGTGCGACTGCGGCAGCTGCGAGTCCAGGTCGAGCGTGAGCCTCATGGCCAGATACTTGTGCAGATGATCGACGGTCGCGTTCGCCGTCGTCTTAATGTACCTCACCGAGTTCTCCTTCAGCGCTTTCACCAGCTGATTGTCGCCGGCCATCTCGGTGGGATGTGGCTTGAACACGAGCTCTATTTCGTTTATGGTGAGCGGCTCCGAGGGACCCTCGCCCTCCGTGTCAGTTTGCTCTGTGTGCTCGGAGGATTCGCTTTCCTCGCTTCTCTCTGAAGTTAAAGTGCTCTTAGACCGTTTCCCCAACTTACTTACTGAACTGACACTGGACGAAACCGGGCTCGGAGGCTGCGACGGCGTGCTCCTCCCAGACGGCGCCGGACTGCTCACAGTCATCTGTATACCTGATGTACTCGGTGGTGGATTGGATGAACTGCTCGAACTGAGCTGACTGACTGACTGCAGCCCAGAACCACCTTGCTGCAACATTCACAAACAATATAATCTTATAAGACTCATAGAAATATCAATCAATCAATCAATTACCACATCCGATATTCCTGAAGGACCTGAAATACTTGCAACAGCCTCCACAGCCGATGAAGTGGCTGCTGCAGCAGAAGCAGCACTGGTGTTGGCCATCTGAAAGTCCTCCACAGTTTTCCTAGCACGATTCGTTCTGTTCTGTGTCTGCAACTTTATGCCCTCTGTGATGGAATTGACCAGAGCCGCCTGCGAGTGGCTTTTATTCAATTTAGCAAGGACGCGCTCCTGATGAGCTTCGTACTCATCGCGACTGGGATATATCTTCGAGATGAGCAAATCGAAATTGGGATCCGCTCGGAGGGATCTCTTAGAGACAAGCTTCTTCCTGCATGTCGGACATTCCTTGTTGCCTGATCTCAATGCAGTGATGATGCATTCCGAGCAGAACCTGTGCAAGCATTCCTTGGTGGTCATTGTTTTCTTGAGCATGTCCAAGCAGATGGGGCACATCAGTTCACTGTGCAGACTCCGTGGGGACACTGCGATTTCTGTGTTGTCCACGATCGCCTCCTGCGGCGTCCTATGCAATTCGTACAGGGACAACTCCCACGTCTTGTTCAGGCCTATTTGCTCCGTGCTGCTGGCCATTACGCCGTTTTCTTCTTATATGAAGACAAACAACAACGAAAAGACCGCCGCCGCTCACGCACCAAACACGAATAAATCAATAAAAATATTACCATCCAGGTGGTTATGCAACCGGAGATGTTCCAAGTTATGCAACCGAAACAACGCTCGTTTGAAATTAATTTATTATTTAAACGTACAAAAATGAACTTATATAAAACTAGTTAACAATCTTCTGATTTCTTATTCACTAAGCATTCTGACGCCTGGTTCTTTCGTAGTTCCCCTGCAGTTTGCGATAGTTTCCTCCGTGCTTCTGGTTCAAGGATCTGCTCACTTTGGGATGATCGACAAGCTCGACTTCTTCGTGCGCTCTTCTCTGCCTTTTACCACTTTCCTGCTCATCCACCTCCTCCTCGTACGGTTCGTAAGATTCGTGATTCTGGGATTCCTCTTCGTCGTGACCATCGGCACCGTGTCCACCGGCATGGTTGTAATCCCAATAGTGCTCTCCGTATCCACCATTCTTATCACCCCATCTCACCTGCGAAACGAAACCGTTAACATTAATTTAACAGAGCGATTAAAGCGAGAAACGCTAAATCGATTAATCAATTAGTAATTACTTTAGTCTTGAACTGTCCTTCATGAGGGTGCGCTTTCTCGTGCCTTTCGATGAAGTGATGTTCATTTCCACGCTTGTGTCCAACCTCGTAGTGGTCTTTTGCTGGCACATGAGCGTATCTGGATTAGTTGCAAAGAAAGTAGTTAAAATTAGGTCTCGGATTAGTGCAAAGCATTACGGGAGGCGCACAAAGAATCGAAGAAATAAACAGCTGAAGATGTTGCTGCAGGCAATATACGAACAATAGACAAAACAAAATAAAACCTTTCCGCGCTGCTTCAGACTGTTCAAATTGATCTGTTCGAATCGCTGCTCCCAATCGTCGGCCGTCTCACGAACGTGCCCAAACTCCAACAACTCCGGCGACACCTGAGCTGCGTATATATCTCTAATATTCCGGGCTTAAATTAAACAAAACGCAAAACAACGAACGACAAACTTACTGGAAGTATTTGCTTCCTGCCTGCACGGCTCCGGTCAATCCGCTCTCAGCTAGTTGCGCTGCCTCCTGAAGATGTTGCCCATACACCGAGCACAATGTAAACGCCAACACCTGAAAACAAATCAAATCAAATCACCAACAATAACGTTAAATATATTTACTTGAACTGCGAGTAATTTGTTCATCTTCGTCGCTCCGTGGAACTGATTGCGCTCGTTGTGCAAGCGCGCTCCTTTTATATACACATTTCCGCGGTCCAGCTTTTTGCGGTTTATCCTTTGCATGCTCTCTAATTCCGCTTTCTACCTGAAAAATTGCGGCTTTCCACGGCTCACTGGCTCACCACGGCTTTCCAGAAAATTGGACCCACAAAAACTGCCGCTACCTAAATTATAAAAAAAAAAACACTTTAGCTTTTTCTTTGTTCTCATAACTTTCCTTGATAATATTGAAAATTTGGCATATCTCTTCAAACAAAATTTTAAATGTTCAGTTTACAAATTGTCGATAAACGTAAAGTAAGTTTCTTATTCGAAATGAAGCAATTTCTGTAGGATTTTTATTTTTTGTTGTTGTTTCAATACTTTTTCTTCTTTTTTTAACATTGCAAATACTTTTGCTATAGATTTACATATCATCTACCTACAATAGAATCATTCACAACGACAATAATCTAAGAAAATTACAAATCAATTGATGAAATGTTTCAAAGTGTTTCGATTTCTGTACTAATTTAATCTCTATAGCACTTACTTTATGACAGTTGCTAAGGATTATAAACTTGTTACCAAGGATACTAAATATTTATTGTGCTTTCAAAGACAAACGCAGTCCTGACAAGACGTCTTTCTATCATATTATATATTCTTTTTAAACAATTTTAATTTATTGTTAATTGGATTCATGTATTTTTAAGTGATGACGTTAAAATTGACTGCTAATGTAATGTCTTCCAGTTGAATTTTCGTTGCTAAGTTACACCAATTGCAATTTTTGTTTGTTATTCGTTAGATCTCGGTATCTACGATAATGACGTTTTATTTTTATATACGTTGCGCAAGTTGGAAGCACGTAGTGGAAGCACGAATTTGTCGGTTGCGTCGCGATCAAACCACTTTCTCCTAACAAAAAAAAAATGAAACAGACACAACAACAGCCCAAAAAAAAAAACATTGAAGCGATACAAAATGCAATAATAAAACTCGAATCTAATTGTAATAGAAGACTAAATATTAATTGATGTCTCCTGCGATGGATTTGTGATGAACCGAAGAATTCGAAAAAAACGCGTAAAGAAAAAAGTTTTAGTGTGTGTGTGTGTGATTTGTGAATGAGCGAGAGAGCGACTCCAGAGGTGGGTGAGTGGACTTAAGTCACAGGTACGCCGCTGAATAAGTTGCCTCAAGTGTGCTCAGTCATATCGCGGTTGTGAAGAAGTGCAGAGCGACTCTCGTCTCTTCGAGTAGAAATTTCGAATTCTCGAAACACACACGCTCACTGAAAGGGAGGAAAAATTGAAGACGAAACAAAGACATTCAGATAGGTAACTCGTGTGTTGTTGAAGATTGTAGTACCGTCGAGGATCGGAGAGAGTGTGACCAATGGTGCCGCAAGTTAACCGATAATTAATTCGTTCAACCAGATCGCAACTACAATTCGCATGTAAGTTTTACAATTTATCCGAAGCAGAAGTGTTTGCTTATCTTTAGATAAATCCAGCGTTAAAGACGCGCGCGCGCCACACACTAACTCTCTTCCGTTTTTATACACATACACACACACACACGGATTCTATATGCAGCGAATTCCTATGCAGAAAGAATCGTCAGATTTGGCCTTTCTAAATGTGATCACTGCTCACAGTTGCGATACATAAAAGGAACACATCTCGTTCCCCAAAATCCAATTTCCTCTATTCTCTTTCCATTAGCTTTTAACATCTTCAATAGGAAGAGAAAGAAACGTTAACACCTTTATAATAATCAAACGACAGAGCAAAGCGAACACGCGACACGCGGACACCCACGTTACATAATCGTAGCGTAATGTTTTTGTTTACTCGCTGCGGCCTAACCTAAGGTAATGCCGTTCCTCTTGCGCAACTCGCTCGAAACGAAGGAAATATCCTTGCTGGGAAACGAGAGCGGAGAAAGGCAGAGTTTTGCTTGGTGGAAGGAACCGGACCTCAGTCTCAGTCTTTTATATTCTGCCTTAGACCTCGAGCTCTTGGATACGGACAGCAGCATCTCTTTGGATCATGACCTTTAGTAACATCTCCACCGCTGCTCCGGTGATTCACTTTTCAGATGTACGTACACCTGACGTGATTCACTTCGTCCTTGCCCATACATCCGATCTAACAACTTACCGACTTCACCACTCCAAATATGCGGAGCACGCATATTGGAATACTGGAATCGCTTCAAACTAATTTAGAAATTGCAAATAACTATTGATATTTCCTCTGAACATGAACTGGAACAATAAAATCAAGTGAACGAGGAGACCATTCGAGGTCACCTCTTTCTGTTATAATTCATCCAGATCATTCAAACAGTTCGAAGCATGCAAATTCGTTCGAAGATGCACAACGAGGACAACCACTCTTTGCCTTGTCAGCTATAGGCAAAAAAAATAAAAGTTTCCAAATTGTTAACAATATGAATAAAGTTTAGTAATTTACTTTGAGCCATCAACTACTTATTTTTAAATATAATTCAAGAAGAAAAGATTGTGAAAAGATGTAAAGGAGATGTTAAAGTTTAAATGAAAATGTGTAAAGTAGACGGCCTTTCGTTTTTTCGAGTGCACCTTGAGAACAATTGGAGTAAACCTAATGGAATTGCGCAATTTGCATTATACAAGCAATTATAGACTGAGAGATTGCAGTGTGAACACGCTGCAAACGCAGGGTGTTTCTTTTCTTTCAATGACAAAAGTTCGCTCCAAATTTGGATTTAAAAGAGAAAAAAGGCCTTCGGGAGGTTGACTTTGCTGTTAGGTAACGCGACGAATTAGAGGCAAGACACGTTCATTTGCAATCACTTTCATTCAAGCTCGTTACTTTCCCACAGGGCAAATTCAATTCTCACACGCCGAGCAAAGAGAAAAAAGAGAACGAACACTGTAATAGCAGTAAACCGTTAATGGTAATTGTTTGTAATGCGAGATTATCATATTTCCACCATAAATAGTTTGACATTAAATGAGATTTACAGTTCGGATTTCTCGGCCAGTAAATCAATGAGTTACATGCATCTAAATCTATCAGATGTGTTTATAGGTTTTTTTGAAGAAGAAGGATATTGTGATCCCCGGATGCGCGTTGTTCGCTGGGGGTTTTTCGATGATTTCTGATTTCTAATTAGAACACGTATTTCGTTTGTTGTGAATGTGTGTCTATTGGTATCGTGTGTTTTCCGCTCTCCAATGCGAATGTGTGTGTATGAATTTTACATGCGGATTGGCGCTGTGGGTGTTGGTTGATCTATCTACGGCCGAAGGTCACATCTCCATTGGAACTGGACTGGACTGTCACCTTACCTAGCTAGCACCAGTAGATATCAGAGTGGTTGCTGCTACAGATACGACCAATAACTCACAGTTTTCTGGTGCACTCGCTTCGGTCAGCATCCAAAAACCTCTGGTAATTATCTCAACTTCTATTCTCCATCATCAACTCTTAACTAATCGCCCACTCGAACGAACAGAACTAGAAGAACAGCAATTAACTAAAAAGAAATTCGAAAACTCTTTACGCATCTATTCGGCCACTGATTTCAATCAAAAATCGCTTAATCTCTTTGAGAAGAACAACATCATCGTTAGGCTTTATTTGCTGTAAAGTTTTAAATTTGACCGTGTGTTATTTTCTTAGGAATTTCAAAATGCAGTTTACTTTTACGATCGCGTGCCTAGGCTTTGTCACAAGTGAACGCACGTTAGTCACGCTATTTATGAGGAATGAGACAGATACATTTTGCAAAGCATCCATGTCATAACAGAAGAAGAGGAAACAAGAGAAAAACAAGCGGAAAACATCGCAACCACGATTTGTCTGTCTGTATGTATACAAAACAAATGTATGTATTTGTAATGTAAGATGAAAACATCTAAAACTTTCAAGAATCAGCCACAATTCGTAACGACAAATGAATGTAATAAATAACAAGCGAAGGTAACTTGTAATTAATTAGAATTTAAATGTGTATAAAAGTTTCGTGAAATTAAATTGTAATTTTCTTCAAATGTTTGATATTTATATGAAACAAGTTTGATGATCTCATATTTTATAATATCGAAACAAAAACTAAAATAAAATTGATTGATCGATTTAATCGATTATAAAGTGAAACAATTGTCTTTTTTTTTTTTAAATTTTTAAGTGTGCTTTGTGATTGGATTCTTGATTAATACTTGTTGTTAAAAGTATCATCGAAATTGATTGGCAGAAGCGAAAACGAGAGAACGGCGAATGAACGGAAGAGGAGGAGGAGGAAAAAGAAAAAGCGAAGAAGGCGAAACTTTCGGATGCGAGCGTTTAGCGAATTCGTGCGAAAAGTGGCGCCAAAATGGGTACGAGTGTAGAAAGTGAGTGATCATAATTAATGTTAATTGCATACGGAGAGGTCCGATACAAATCAATGCATAAAGAATAAAGATAAATCAATCAAGGAAACTGCAGGCATGTTGTTGTTGTTGTTTTTTCTCTTCTAAATATATAGAGAACTGTGTGAAAGAATGTGTGCGAATGCAACGCGGATGAACTGATGCTGATGACAATGCTCATATGTAACCTATTTACACGCATCAAAGACGGCGATGAATCACATTGGGAAAATACTTGCAACAATTTGGTTATTGATCGAAGGCGGATGTCGCTGTTATTAAAGTTACATATTACACGTCTGGGATTTTTCAGTATCAATGACAACAATAGTAGGAACATGCATCAACATACCTTAGGAATGTTAATTGAACAAAAAAAAAAAAAGTTCTTACCTGATCATTGCAGAACGTGTTGCCGATTGAATAATTTGCTGATTCTATTAGTTGAATATCCGTTTCCGGGTAATAAATTAATAGTTAATCGAAACGGATGTGTGATATTGATTGCACGATTTATGAATGAATGAATGACATTACAATTATCTATTTTGTTTCTTGCTTTCCAGGTATACTGTTTTTTAGATTTCATTGTTTTTAAGTATTGATTGAAGATTGCTTTGGAAGTTGTTGCCTGGTTACAGTAACGGACTGTCAAATTTGTTATTAGTTTTGTGTTGAGTAATGTTTCTCGGTGCTACAAGTTGCTGAATTCTCTGGTTATTATTGTATCTAATTCCTTTTTGTTGTTTGTTCTGTTTGTTTCAGGATCGGGAGTGCTAGAATGTTAGTGAGGTGATGGCTTTGTTAAACTACAGTTTTCCGTATCACGCGGCGGCGGCAGCGCCGCCGCCACCACAGCCCTATGTGCCGCCAAGTGCATACCATTATCCGCGTCCCCACACGCCCTTCACCGCCGAGGATGCGGACATGCCGCCACCTGCGACTCCGCACTACACCCAGGTGCGTGGCGGAGGAGGATCCAAAGCCCAGGTGCACGCCGTCATCGATTACGATTACTACGAGGACGGCGGCGGCGGCGGCCACCAGGTGGTCCATCCAGGTGTTGGAGGACATCCGCAGCATCAGACGGGCGGCGGCGGTCTGCACCATCAGCCCGCCGTCACACCCATCCAGGGACCCATCTATCTCAAGAACGGAACCGTACCCGTCGTGCCGCTCTACTCCTATCCCCAGATCAACAACGGAAGCTTCGTTCAGATACCGGTAAGCGAACAAGTAACAATTAAGTCCACGCTCTAGACACTTCACGCTCTAGTTGCTCTCTGCTCACTCGCCAGTGACTCACCGCCCAAACGCGAAAACGTAACAATCGATCGCATAACTAATCAATTCCATTTGAACTTTCAAAGTCAACATCTCAAGGGTTTTCTCCTTTGTTTCAACATTACTCAATATACGGCAACCATGGCAACATGATGCATCCTAGATGCAAGAGTTGTCCCAAATTACAAACAATTTCTGCTAACACTAACATTTGTCAAACGCGTTTTGCAACAGAAAACAATACAAACAAAGTACAGAGTAGCAAAATTTAACGATTGAGAACATGCGTTAGTCATGCACACCTTCTTCGTTTGCCTCATCTATATGTTGTTAATTTCGATTGCAAATAATAGCGTTCATGGATTCGCTCGAGTGTAACGCTGTTCGAGGAACGTTTAGATTTCATTTCAAATTTATCGTATTGACCGATTGGGTCATTGGATATCTGGTTAATTAGACGATATATAATGGATTGCATAAATCCTTACGGTAGTAGTCATGATATATTGCATTAAGAAATACGCTTTTGTGGCGTTGTCCGAGCTTTTGCTTGTGTTCGAAATCGTGAATTTCAATGGAATGGACGCTGTATCACGTAATTTCTGGCTGTGCAGCCTGTGTCTGATCACGTAATCTTACAACAATGGACAATGCGATCGTCGGACTTGGGTGTCTCGGCCATCGATTTTTAATTGTACATTTCCAGCAAATCCAGCACGATTCAAGAATATCCACTGTATCATTTCAGTTCAGAAATGGTGCGTTACATCTACTTGATTGATGTATGAAGTAAAATCATTAATTATAAATTGATATTTTATATTCGGTTTGAAGAAATGAAATTCCTATGATTGACATCATATCTAGATAACAGTAACTCGTTATTTCTTTAGCTATGACTAATGGAATGGTGAAACGATTAAACGAGAATTGAACCAATTCGACTGTTACCGAACTGAGCAGATATTATTATTATGCAAGAGCAGGAAACATCGATTAACGTTCGTAACGAAAAAGAAACTCTAATTGGCGAGCCCCGAAGAGTGCGCCAATTAAGAGGATGACGAAAGGTTAAACGATATCTGAGATAGCGGATAGTTTCCTTTGCTGAGTGTGATCCATTTGGAGGTTGCACGAATCCAGATGAAACGATCTCTTCTGTGTGAGTGAGTGAGTGTGTGTACAGAATTCGTAAGGCATGTTTCCTCTGCGATTTCGCTGCTCTCCTCACCTGGTCCTTTCACCTTTTTGCTTTAGCCTTCGCCTGGCATTTATGTATTACACGTACGAGGTGTAGACGACGACGACGGCGGCGGCGGCGGCGACGACGAGGAGGAGGTGTAGACAATGCGAACACGCGCGCGCTCCCTTTTCTGCTGCTTCGATCCGGACACCGGAAATGCCAAAACTGGTCGTTGACGGCTTCACAAATGGAACAAGTTAAAAGAGGAAAGAGTGAACTGCAAGAGCGGGTAACCTTCGATAAAGATAATTGAAAACTTGTTGGACGGAGGAAGCGATTTCTTCCATCGCTTGCGTTACGTCATCCGAGATGACCGTACCTACGACCCATTGACGAAAGTCGAGCAGAAGGTTTAATGGCCTTTGCCGGGAGAAACCTACGAATGCTTTACATTTTGCAACGACAGTGTTGAGTAATGCGCGACGAAAGGGAAAACATTTTTAAAGAAATATTTTATTCCTCTACTACTACATAATATATAAATGTATATTTATTATATACATTTTATTCTTTACATTCTTTGTTTCGTTCGGAAAGTGGTTCACATTCACTTTCGACGACGGCCACCGCCGCGATACGCGACCTTACGTGCACGGCATTCGTACGTATTCCACGGTTTTAGCACTCGATTAAATTGGAATTGGAATTAAATGTGGAAAGCGCGACAAACGAAAATAACGCAAAAGAGAGCAAAAGAACGAATACAATAAATAGACGGCAGCGGCGGCAGCAGCAGAAAAGAAATGCCCGGTAATTATTCTAATAGACCTCACGTTATGCAACTCATTCTTCCTTTTCAATTGCTTTTGACTCACGGTCGAGCATACCAATCGATTCGCTCTGTTCCCCATTCAACAACCAACACTCGTCAAACGATCGAAACCGTTTACTTATACTACTACTACTACTACAGCAAACTTAGACATTCACTGTTTGACAAATTTCAAAGGATTAACATTATATTGAAATATAATACGTTTGATATTCAAATAATCTTTAATCCTTATTACTTTATCTCGTGTTGAAAGTGGCTTTGACTACCATTTAGAGAAATTTATTACTAGATTTACGACTACATCAAGATTTAACTTGGAATTGAGTAATAATAACATTTTAACTATTATAATGAATGCGAAAATTTCGATATAATGCTGTGAATAATCAGCATAATTTTCGTGTAGTCATTAAGTGAAATGTGTTAAGAACGTGCGTCAATCGACAGACATAATGCTTAACAGTAGTAGTTGGAGAAACACAGAAGAAACAGTAATATATTGTACGTATTCCTGCATATTCTGAATAGACCGTTTTGCATACGAGCTTATTCAAATTTTCGCATATAAATAATTTATGTTTTCCTTGCATTAACTATCGGCATATTTGATTGGTAGAGAGAAACAAAAATATAATAAATGAAACAACGACGACCAGAAAGTAAAAAAAATGGAGAGACAGAGAGAAAGAATCAGACGAAAAGTTCGCAAAACAAATAAACAAAACGGTCTAAGCAACTGCGACAGTTGTTAATTTGGAAAAGAAACGTGTTTGGAAGATCTCAGGAAGCAATAACATCAACAATCGTACAAAGTGCTCTCGAGATTGAACACAAATAATCGTTTTGTATTTGTTTTTTTTTTGAAATTTAATGTGTAACGAACAAATTTAACTTGACGCATTTCACTTTCAAATGTTTAACAAATTATTGCCAATCTAGTGAAAGTTCTTTTTGATTGACAAAATTTGATTTATGCATTTTTTTTCCCTATACATTTGTCTTCATTAATTTAATTAAATACCATTATTAGTATGTAATAATTTTAGAAACTGTACACAAATGAATACAAGTGTTTCATCTACGATTTTGATAAACAATGTGAAGACGGTGTAGTAATGGTATGAAATTGAAGAAGTGGAAGTGATTTGAATAGACATAAAAGAATAGAAGAAGAAAACGCATTAAACGTCGTTACGTCGATGGAATAAAATTCTTGATCTCTCTCTCCAGTCATAATGAATGTAAATCTATTGTGCCGATTCAACCATCTGACAGACAGTTATTCAAACGAAGACGCGTTTCTTTTCGTCGCTCCTGCTCATCTCTGTCGTCTCTGAAAAGGAGACACGTGCACGTGCAGAACGCGCCCACTGTCCGTGTTGCAATGTGCGGAAGAATCCAATAATCAAGTTGCGAAGAAGAGGTGCATCATGAATACCCGATCCAGTTTGGTAATAACGTCTATTCAGATTCAGAGTAAAAAGAAATGCTAAATGCGCCGTAAGTCATTAGAATATTTGGAGTTGTAATGTGAATGTTTACTATTGTGTTTATTTCTTTATTTTTCTTATTTAATAATGAAATTGTACGGTTTTTTTTTGACACTCTGAAAAACGGTTGCGCAACGCGTGGATCACTTTCTACGGTGGGTTTTTCCCAGAAATTCTTCACGCAACAGCGCGAATGTGCGAAGAATGTGGGAAGTTATTTATTAGGTGATCGATCGGTTTTATGATACAAATTTGAGGGAGAAAAAAAAATGAAATTGCATGTGTTGACTAATTGCGCTTACATTTTCTGCACGTGTTCACCTCGAGGGTGATCGGCAGGTAAGAAACGCGACGCGCGTCTCTTTCGACGTGTTCTCGTTCCGAATGCGTGGGCGTGTATGTGTGTAATTCCCAAGATCTAAATCTTGCTGTTGTTGTTGTTGTCTGTTTTGTATGTTTTGTTGTTGCCTTGAAAAGCCGCGCCCGCGCCCGTTGTCTCCATCGCCGGGTTTTTGCGGCGCGACTCCGGTAAATCTCCAGTCTCCAATTCCGGGTCCAGATTTCCGGAAGTGGGTGCGACATTATCTACCTCCATTGGTTCCCATGAAGTTTCTTGCGTGCCGTTGCATGTATTTATTTGTATGTCGTTGGGAAAGGTGAAGGTGGTCGCTCTCTCGAGCGCGCGCTATTGTTGTGCATGCCCGCTTGCCCGTTCATTAATTGTCGTTGGCTGAAAGAGTGCCCGACAAGGGCACACACATACATCATACATCATTTGAAATGTACACTGCACAGCCTTGGAGCACGGCGGCGTATTTTTGTTTATTAAAAACTTTATTATCAAGCGTGCTCTGAGCTTTCAATTCTGGCGGAAATTGCAACAACCTTCCAGTTCTAACGCTTACACAAAAGATGGCAATCCCATCGAATTTCAATTGATCTTCCCGTTTTCATCCGAACTCGTTTACAATACAAAAATTAACTTGTTTGTCGCGTGTAATCTAACAATTCCAATCAAAAAATAACTAGCCTTAATGTTACTATTATCAATACAATTATCATTTCTGTTTATAATTTGTTAAACTTATCAAAGTTTATGGTTTTTTTTTAACGTAACGTAACGTTAATTATTATTAGTTTCCATAAACTAGTTAATATTTGTAAATGAATCATTATTACTACTTGTTAAACAGCAATTAAAGATGCAATTAATGTAATAGTTTCGATTGGAGAGCATAATTGGAATAGATCGATAAATTACGTGCATAGTTTATCGAGCATTCCAAGTCCAAAATGAGCTAATTGAAACGTTCTCGTTTTTTATAATCCATTAATCGCAACTAGATTCTGCACCGGTTTTGGTAACGGTCTAATATGTCTTCATTAATACTTAAACAGGAAGAAATGCCCATTTTTGCTTGCGGTTCGATTCGCCACTGAACGCAATCGATCGCGAAGGTTTCACTTTGGATCTCCTTTTTTGTCTGCCAAACAATTACGTTCGACGAGATTTTCAAGAACGTTCTCGCATCGAATTTGAAGCGTTAACTGCTACCAATCAGAACTAATTAACAAGAAGTTTAGTATTGAAAGATGACCAATATATTTTTTATCATTGTCAGAGCGATGACAGTTTCCAAGAACAAGATTGAAACGGTTCGCCGCGTTGACACAACTCGAGCGAAGAATGTTAATTTATTTCCTTTCTGTCTTAAACATTTTTTTTTTCATTATTACGTTCCACCGACGACAATAACCGCGCAGATTGGTCAAGGCTTTGGAAATAGTTGCGACAGCTAAGCCTAGCAAAAGAACAACAAAAAAGAGTATGTATATCAACAGTGTACAACATATCTTTGAAACGGTTCGAACTTTCGAAACGAATTTTTCTTCGATCCGATTTAACATATATATTGTGAACGTGTTAGTTTTGCGATATGATTTATCGACATCCGCGTGTGATCCGTATCAGACGGTTTTTTTTTCTTTTCTTCTTCTTAAGTCGAAGGTGTCTCCGGTGAATGGTGTAACTTGGTGAGTTTCACCCGTTTCTGAGGTGAACAACTGCGTTCAATACTATTACTACTACTCTGTTCTTTTCTTCTTGTTGTTGTTTTCGTTTGTAGATCAAAAAATTCCAATTGTGATTGTAAAGAACTTGGTAGTATTTAAATACGTTCATTGTTCTTCTTCTCAATTTAAATACTATTATTATTAGCATCATAATTTACTTTATTATTTTGAATGAATGAACAAATATTTGCAAAGAAATAATCTAAATAATTTTGACCTTTCGATTTAAACGAAATTGTGATAATATTTACTACGTTTCTATTGAAATTTTTTTTATGAAAATTAATTGATTTATAATTTCCAGGAAATAATCTGTGAAAATGTTGACCTCTCATGACCGTTGTTCCATTTGTTTATTGTATTTGCCAATGCCAATGTACGTTGTTACTAGTTGAAACTCACGTGAGTTTTAAATTTTAAATGAAATAACAACAAAGAAAACACACGTTAATTGCAATCGGTAATTATTTCCCAACGAATTCCTTCATGCCGAGTTTTCCCCCGATTCACCGTGCGGCTGGGGGACAAGAAAAACACACACTATCGTGATGATGAATCACGCTCATCGTTATTATTAAGTAACTCGTGCAAATATTTAGTACCAAAAAAAAAAAAAAAAGTGTTTGCGGATAATCGGCTTCATTATGCGGATAAATGGAGTAAAATACAGTAATTGCGGGTTTGCAAGAGAGGATCGCTTAAAAATAAACGTTATGCAATTACATGGAATTATGCTAAATCTCAAAGTTCACATGATTGCTGTTGTTGCTGTTGCTGTTGATGATGATGATGATGCGGAGAGTCTTCAGTGTTTGTTGGGCGACGAAGAAGATCGGTCGATGTTGGTGCATTACGGTGTGAGTATTGTTTCTCTGATGTCGCGCGCGGTTTTCAGGGAATTCCTAAATGCTGCGGTCTGATCCCATAATACGCTATTTATAAGTTTTTGCTCGGATGCAGGCGGGCAGGCAGGCAGGCATTGTCTTTAAATTATATACGCCGAATGATGAATAGTTGCGATGCAGTCATCATCGATTCGTCGCGGTCATCGTGCAGCATCCGCCGTTGATCGCATTCGGATGGAGTTGTTAACCGTTACTCTCTGCTTGCAGATCCTCTGGACGGCCCTTTCGGTGGCGCTAGGTCTGGAGATTCGTGGAGAGTTCATCCGAGGAGTGCCATGCATCAAGAGATACCAGCAGCTCTTCTGTCCCACAGCGGGGAACACCTATCCACTGTAAGTCTTTCGAATTACCACCTCGTTTGTTCTTTTACTTATTTTCGTTTGCTGTTTGCTGTTTCAGTGAGAGAATAGAGACGTTCATAGATGATAACAAAGCTCTGATGAAGCGGATGTACGGAGAGTTCATCATGGGACCGGATTACGACACGGAGCCGACGCGGAAGCCGAAGAGAGCGCCGCCGCCCGGGGTGCCGGATCTTCACGCGCCCCCCGGTCCCGAGTCGATGTTCGCGAAGGTCCGCGTGACGAGGCAGAGTTTCCGCAACAACCAGAGCTCGGAAACCGGAAGGTAAAGATCATCTATTAATAGATTTAAACGCTTGATTCATCATCGAACATCGTGAACCGCTTTGCAGAGTCGACGCATGCCAAAGCAAAGTGGAGATCGTGACTCCTTACTGGGCGTCCAACTCTGCTGGGAAAATCCGAGCCATCGTCAACACCCAGCACTTCGAGCAGGCCATTCACCAGGAAGTCTGCGCGTAAGTTCAACACACCTTAATTTCATAGCAATTCATAGCATTTCATCAATGCACAATCAACGTAAAAACTAAATGAATGAACTAAATTCCACCGTTGAATCATCACCGGATTTGCATACTGGATCAATTTATTAGGATTACTAAATTAATGCAACGCATATGTTTTTTCATGTTATATAAGATTATCACAGAAAAACCACAAATGTTATTACTCAATCTTTATTATCGGACTTTTCCTAGAAGATGAAGGAAGCGAAGTTGTTAATTCATGCAATTAACATAATTATATTGCAAACGCTGCAAATGTTTGTTTTAGTAATGAAATAGTTCATGGATTGCTGCTGCTTTCATTTAAATAACTTAAACTGTTTGCGTTCATTATTAATGTTTTTTTCTTTCTTTTCTAGTAAGAAAGAGACTGGTCGTTGTTCCGGCGAGTGCGGTTGCGAGCAAAAGTACAAATGGCATCGTCTGCTTGCCTACGATCCAGACAACGACTGCAAAGGCATCTTCATGGATTGGTTCCTATTCCCGTCGTGCTGCGTCTGCAGATGCAACCCGACCTGAGACGCGCTGCTGTTGCTGCTGCTGCTGCACCTCCACTCAACGGTCATCATCTAATCTGATTATTATCTGATTACTCTTTGTTTAATGTGGTGCCAAAACAGATTTAGATTTAAATTATTTTTAATTCTTAAGCGCCATACACACACACACGACATATACACAAACACACATTGTTTAGTTACCTAAAACGTCTAGTTATTTTTTAAGCGAATTATATATTAGGGTAATTACTTTATTTTTGATCGGAACGATTCAAATTCAAAAGTTTAATGTTTCTTCGCACATTTATTTAAATCGTGTTTTCTTAAAAAGTGCAGGCTATGTTTTGCTAAAAGGAAAAATTGTCTATTTTAACTTCGATTTTAAGGTGAAGTTTTATTATTTTTTTTCTTTTCATTTTTAGTTTGTCATGCCTAGGAAGTGAACCACTTTTCCTACATTCCTTTCTTCTCTCTATGTACGCATCTATATATATATATTATTATTATTGTTTTTCTACACAATCGGCGATTGTCTTATTTATAATTTGTATTATTATAGTTGAATTCTGTAGACTTTATGATGAGCGGAACGAAAGAAACATTGTGCCAATTTACACACACATAATACCGTTTATTAAATTTAATATGAAAATTTATCACACACTTATCTTTATTCATATCCAGATACACGCATTCCTACTTTCACCCACTAAAGTTTTAATCCATGATAAAGCCTACTTGTTTTACAGGAAAGAAAAAGTGTCACTGATGTTGTCTGTTGTACAATGTTAACTAATGAAGAAACATAAACTATATATTGTCCTCGATGAATACAATTCAAGTTGTAAGTAGACAAAAAAAATGTGAAATAATGACGATCATCAAGAAAAATATTGATTTATTAAAGTACTGTTTTATAACGTGAATATAAATTTATTGTTTTAGATAATTATGGACGTATCATCATAACACAGCGAGAATTCTTTACAAGAGTGTTAACGTCAAGCTCAAAATAGTGAATAGAACGATGGATGAAGCGAATTTGGGTGAGGAGGCGTTGCACAGATCGGAGCTGCACTCGTGACAATTCTCCAAACGTTGTCCATCGGATAAACCATTTTTCACGTTGCTGCAAGCCAACTCGCTCTTGGAAGACAATCCGACGCAGGTTCTTATGTGCGATTTGGCACCTTACAAAGAATGTTGTCAACAAACGACAATATGAAGTTAAGATATATCAACTTACCGGCATACGTTACATCCACTGTGACGCACTTGAAATCAACAAACGAATGACTTCCTTTGGTGACGTACTGGAGGCTGGAGCAGTTCAGCGATTCCAATTTGCAGTCGCGACTTGAAGCAGATTCGCAGTAGAAGCAATCCTTTGCCGCGACTGAAACCAAAAAAAATAAATCAGAAGGAACAAATTATTTGCTGTTCATCCTTACGGCACACGGAGAGCGACGCCACCAAGATCAAGCACGACTTAAGCATGTTGTTGAGCGACTGATATGGGCGCGACAGTTCGATTTTCCCTTCCAGAAAATCCGCGATGTGTTTGCGCATCGTCTCTCAAATATTTAAACTGAACCCATATAAATTTAGAAAATTCCCTGTGTTTATTGCGTTCTCCGTTTGTTTGGTTTACCGCACTTCCAGCAACGCGTTCACGTTACGAATTTTGCGGCCGAAACGGAAAACCTATTTTTATCATATGCGTACGCCAAAAAAAAAAAACAAAAAGAAAACAAAACCGAGATTTGCATGTAAATCATCCTCTGTTTATTTATTCCGTTTGATTTAGATTTAATATTACTTGGAAACAGTAAATTGCAATCCAGTTTGCAGTTTCCATAGTTACTATGATCTTGTAATGATTTTTATCTAATATTTTGTTTTGTTTCTATGGAAATAGATGTTACTGTATAGTATACAAAAACGATTATTTAGAAAAGCAAGCAAAAAGCAACGTTTCTTCTTGAAAATAAAGAAATTAGAAAATAAATTATTAGTCAATACACATAAGTGGGTTTGGTATTTGGACTTTATTAAATAAATCATTGACCTTAGCCAATAAATATCAAAAGTAAATGGCTTTCAAATGAAATTGGGTCAATTGCAAACGAATATATTTTAAAATCTCAAATTTTCTTTGACGTTTCTTTCAATTCTGTAATCGGATTGTGTGCGAAGATTACACTTAAAAATTACAAAATTGGTAATTAGCATGTTCGAAGACAAGTTTGAAAGTGTTTCCTTCGGATCGTTTCGCCGCCTCTTCAGTTGGTTAGCACAGTTGTCCGACCATTCGTGTGTGTGTGTGTGTGCAAATGCGGAAAGTGAGTTTGCTCCTTGCGCAATTAGTTTACATTAGTTTGAAGCGAGCATAAATATTTGAATTAGTAAAAGCGCTTATTCTCACGTACACCGATATTCTATTATTTGCACTCTACAATGGACTACATTCCTATAGAGAATACGACATATCAACAAAATCAATAAAGAATACGTTACATAATAATGATGAAATTTAGATCACTCTTACTCAATTCACTTTTTGTTGCAGTTTGCTAAAATCAGTCCACAAACAAATTGCTTTTTTTTTATTGTTTCTTGCCAAATATTGCAATAACTATGGCAACGGAAGATATTATGTAACCATTTTAAAACCAACACTTTGTGGTTGTTATGGCAACTTATCGAAAAGCTACACCAATAAATAGTTTTTTGGAAAAAGCAATGTCTTTACATTTCAATGATTTTCTCGAAAACTGTAATACATAGAATGAATCCAAAAGATGCATATGAAAGCTGAATGTTTGGGGAATCTAGCAAGT